TTGTCCTTGAAAAGCTCTTTGAGCTCATTCACTATGAAAAATAAATTTTGCGCGTTTTGAACAGCCTTGAGCAGGTTGTTTCGTGTTTTTCTTTGTTTAAGTTTTCCTATAAGAAATTCCATAAACGAAACGTAATTGAAGTTTAATTAGGTATACTTTCAACAACTCAATAATTGCTAAATAAATAGTGATTTTACTTTTATTTTCTATCTATGCTAAAAGGTACGCAATATTTTCAATGCAAAAATAAGTTTTTTTTTTTTTCAAAACCTATTTTTGTGGAATAATAACCGTAACAAAACTGAATAAAAGGGAAAATCAGAAACTCACACGTCACAGCCGGGCGAACTCATGTATACATCCATTTATTCATCCACAGATTGAAATTTTGACTTTCATTGGAGAAGGATCAATTTATAATTCAATACCACCAGAGATATGATTTGTCATGGGAAGATGAAGGACTTCGTGACTCGACAGATTTAACGTGCACTAGTCACCATTTACGGCTTCTTTGTCTTACGTCTTTTGCCGGCGGAGATCGAACTCACGTCCTCTTAGACATGGGTCCAACGCCCTACCAACCTGGCTATCTCGGTCACGATATTATTGTTCAATACGAAACAAGATTCCTACCAGTGTACAGCGAAAAAATGTTCCAATTATTATTATAAAAATACAATACACGAGGGTACAATGACGGGCTGAAAACGGTTCTTTTGCAGTAAAATCATGGATTATGAAGTATTTGTCATGGATCGATGGATCAATACTCTATACACCACTGGTAAAATATCAGACACGCAATTATGTTCCATTATTGCATTCTTATTTTTGGCAACAATGTGTTAATTTAAAAATCAATAAACGCAGTGATTCATTACAGTTAGGCTTATCACGAAAATCCAATTCATGCACGTTTACTTTACCTTTTAGCTAAAATATATATGTTTGATCCTTTAAATTAGTTATTCTGTTGACAAAGTGAGAAATTGGTGACTTATAACAAAAAAAAAACTTCAACCGTAACGCTTGAACAACTGCTGTATCGTCTAATTAAAGTTAATTAAACGCATAGCATCTGATATCCGGGATATGTGTGTTACATCGGAAAATTAATTGTCAGTGACGCAATCGTGATATTTATTTCCCCCTTTTTTTTAATCCTCGTCATCCTCACTAATGAATAAGAACACAATCCTCTTTTCTGCTCCGATAAAGAATAACTTTTGTTTTTCTTTTCACTTCAGTTCTTTTATTTTTATGACGTTCTTTCTCTCTTTTTTTATATAAGTTGGTTGATTCAGTATCGTCTGCTTTGCACTTTTTGAGGGAAAGAAGATGTCGCTTTCGCATTCTATTTCCTAATTTTTCGAAATTAATTGCTTCATTATTAATAAGAAATCGAATATTAGAATTGTAAATAAAAAATAAATTGGAAGTTTAACGCGAATTTCTGTACTGGTTGACTTCAATTAAATTTCAAGACTCTTACTTCACTGTTAGATTACAGGTATTGTAAATCTTACGTCAATTGCTCACAGTAAAATTATTCTTTTTTTTTTTTTTGAATTGGTTAATTCATTATCATTTGTTTACTACTTTTTGAGTGAAAGAAAATGTTGTCGTATTCTATCGGTTGCTAATTTAATGAAATTAATTACTTCTTTATGACAAAGTAGTTGTTTATTAGTTTTGGAAATATTATGTCAAGTAAGCTCAAGCAAAATCAACTAAGATGGCATGTGACTCACGTTAGAGTCATACATCCGAATTAGCTTTTCGAAGGCTTTCATGGAACCGCGTATTGATTATATTTAAAGTTATGCTTGTATGATGCCCGTTACCAAGCTATAAGTAAAACTAACGTAAATTTAACTTATCAACAAATGATTTATTAAACACAAATTTTAGTCTATTTTATAACCGTTGTTGAACAGCTGACCCAATTTTTTGGGTTTACGGCTGCCAATGTTCAACTGCGTAGCCTTGTAATTTTGAACCCAATCCAGAAGACAAGGGAACTCCTATATAAAGTATTGGGAGAAATTTTACCTTCTTGGAGAACTTGCGTTATATGGTAACGAAAACCATGAAAACCTCCCACGGTTAGCCCGACGGCAAATGGACTCTAACCTATGATCCGCCCACCAAAGTGGATATTTTACGGCTGAGCCATGGTTGGGTGGTGATGCTTCCATAAACTTAAATAACGTAAACCCATCGCCATCGGTTATTTATACATAAAAAGACATGCACTGACAGACTAACGGATTCATTAAGCTAGAAACATGAAATTTGGACAATGGATTCCTTTTATGACGTAGGCACCCACTAAGAAATTATGTTTTGATATTCTGCCCCTATGGAGTTAAATAAAGGTTGAAAGGTTGTTTCAAAATCTATCGATTTTTAAACAAGCATAATGAAAATTCATGTTTAGTTTTTTGACCAGAAAGAAAGAAATATGTGTTTCAACGTTTTTAGAAAATCAACCACCTAGGGGGAAAATGAGAGAGATGAAATTTGCTTGAAAATCCGCTGATTTTGCTGCTTTTGTTTAACTTCATAATCTATAGAATTCGCTAATACTTTCGTAACTTTGCCTAAATTTTGGCAACCCTATAGATCAAACATACATACATACCTAAAACATTTTCTCGCAATAAGCACTCTAAAAAAATTAATTAAATAAAGTTTTTTATTCCATTTATTATTTTTTATCCTATTGAAAAATCACTTAAAAAAAAAAACTTTCTATTAATAAAATATGACATTTCTAGTGAAAAAAAATTCAATACATAGAGACCTTAGACAATATCGGGAACATCTTTTGAAAATAGTTAAAATAAAGAAAAGTACTTCCTCGCGGACAAGGTCGCAGGCATCAGCAAGTCATAAATAATTATATTAGTAATGAAAAAAAAAATATTATCCTAAAGGGCAAAATTAATAAGGAAAATTTCTTGATTGCTGTAAATTTTAAATATGAGTAGGTTGCGACCAATTCCACCATTTTCGCTGCTGAATAATACTGAATATAGTTCATCGTAATTTTGATTTAAAAAAATTGGATCCTTTTTTTTTTTAATATTTATTTTATTGCGTCGCTCGTGTCATTCAATTTCGTGGCAGAAATGCGTAGTTTAATACCGATTTATTAATTATTAACTTTTTTTTTAAACCATATATGAAATGCGGGTATTCAGCTGGCCTATTAAAAAAGACACTTTTGTGATAGTACGAATTTGTAAATTGTACAAAAGCTAATTTTAATATATTCAAGTAAGCAGTGAGCAATAAGTTTCGCTGTTCGTTAAATTTAAACTAAAGACTTCAGACTAAAAAGACATCAATACATCTGGTATTTTTAGGGGAGAAATGTTTTTATTCTTAACATAATAAAAGAAAATTAATTAATTTGGTGCATAGAGTTTAGATACCATTTTTGCAAAGCACAAATTACGTCATCATTGAAGAACACAAAATAATATATCTGTATTTATGCTTTGTTGTAAACAATTTTAATTTTATGAACTATTTATGAGATTTATTTTTCGAAATGTAAGCAACTAACGAGCTAATGACGAAATCGATAGAACAGTAAGCAATCGATTTTGATTACATTCGAAAAACCAAAAAAAATATATAAACTATTCATTTGCAAACGACCTTAAATACTGGACGAAGTGATCTTAAAATAAATGTGAAACCGATACTGCCTGTTACTGTTGAGCTGACATTTCGTTATCAAACGATTGTGATAAATTTGTCAAAAATAATAATAACAATAACAAATTAAATGCAGTTTTTTTATTTTTAGTTCATTAATGCGCAATTTTATCTTTAGAAAAAGATACGCATTAAGCAAGAATATAGCAACAATAATTTAAAAGTCATTACGAGGAAATACTTTAAAGAAAATGTAATCAAGAACTCTTAGCAAAGCTGTTGAACGTTGGAAAGATATTAAAAAAAATATGATAAACTGACAAGGAATCAAATTTTTGGCCCTTCAATTATTACGTAAGCATCGAAAGAAGGAGAGGTTTTGTGATTTGTTTATTTATTGCTGACAAGGAGGGTAGGAGAAATGTGAGCAATGCTTACGTAAGTGCCTAAATAAAATCTAGTTATTTTCATTATTTAAGCAGAAAAAAAAGAAAGAAAAAAGTATGTAGCAAAAGGCTTAGCATTAGAAAAAATCACACTGGTAAACATTTGAAATAAAAATGGAATTTGGGGTTTGAAAAATGCCTTTAAGTAGTTTTAAAACTTTATGAAATGTATTAAAACGTTAATTTTTCTTTATAATAAGTATTTTTTTAATTCAGTCCTAAAATTAGATTAATATAGTATTAGTGAAAGTTAAAGCAAAGAACTAAGGGAGATGTTGGGATTTACTTACGTAAGCAGGAGAGCGGGTTTGTTGTTGGCTTGTTTTTAGAAGAGGGAACACTTTCTTCGTTTTTGACTCATAATAATTATTGTAGAATGTCTTATTTTGTTCTTTTTTTCTTCATTTGAGTGAACTTGTAAACATTTCTTAAAGATCTTGAAATTTTTTTATATTTATCTATTTTTCATTCTTTTAATAACGACTAACAATAAGTGTTATTTATATTCAGGATTATTATTATATAAAAAAGCTTTTATTATTTAATTATTTTTAACTTAAAACTTTTATTGAAAGCCATTTACTAATTATCTCTGTGGACTTAACTTGATACTGAAACAATTTAAAATTCCAATTAGACAAAGAAAATAATCATAACCGTGATTAGATAACCAGTTTATTTGTTCCATTGTTATTTATATTTAAATCACATACGAACTTCATAACAGTGCTTTCACACAGTTAAACTATTATTCTATTTAAAAAAAAAAATTTAAAAAATCGTGCGTCTACGATAATATAAAGGAAACTGAAAACGATAGGTAACTGGGAGGAAAAAGAATCAGCTGATATCAGACGACTCCCAAAACATCACGAATGAGGTAGGGGAAGGGGGGAGCAACACTGAAGAGGAAAGGATACCCACCTGTTGTTCAGGTTTTTACTACGCAAGCATTCATTCATGATTTTTTCCTCAGTTTGCTCTTACCCTTCAGAAGGATAGTTTCGCTTCGTTCCAAGCAAGTTTGTACATGTTGTCGCCAGAGTTGAACTCGACCCGTTTACTGGCGGATTCTTGTGGCAGTTGTTTATTCTACCTGTAGCGCCTATCGTTTGCGGTTTGTGTTTCACATTAGTTTTAGATTTCATCAGACGATTATGATTAGCTGTTTTGTAGGAAACGAAAAGCGCCGTTCAAAGAAAGGTTCGATTTGTTCTAGGTTAGTTTGTTTTACTTATCTATTTTTAGTGTTTAACTTGGCATTTAAAATCCAAACTATATATCCGATAATACACAGTGAAATATGAGCAATTGTTATTATTTATTTAGATATATAATTTTTTTATTTGTTTAAATATTATAATTACAAATATTTTTAGTTGTTTATTAACACGATTTTATTTGTTTCATAAACCGAATAATGTGATTTTTTTAATATTACTTATCAGGATGATGCGGTGATTGCTTACTTATTGTAGCTATTTTTAACAAGCACTTAGCATTCAAGTTATATTACTTTAAAATTATTACTTTTTGTGCTCATTTTTTGAAAAATCTCCATATTTCAAATGTTCACTTCAGCCAATTAATAAATAATTTGAAAAAAGTTTCGCCATTTAAATTATTATTATTAATATATTTGTTTAATTAAGTATTTTATTTCACGCCACTGTATGATTTTTTATAATTAATTTAATTTTTTATAATTTTATCCTTTATTTTTTTTACTGCAATTAGAGCTAATTATTTATAATTAAAATTTATTAACTTTTAAAATATCAACGAATAATAAATAAAACCTTAACTGTTTTAAAATCCATTACAAAGTAAACTGTCACATTTTAGTAAGCCCATATAAATAATAAATATTTAATTATTAATTAAATATTTATTTTTAATTTATCTACTTTCTTCATTGCTTCAAAATGTAAAATTGATTTTAAATTGTAGTTAAAAAAATTTGCTCAAAGATTTGATTATAGTTAATAAATATGATTGTTTCGTATTAAATACCAAGTTATTAATTAATCATATGTATACAATTTATTAATTTCAGTATGCCAAATTGATTTACCTTAAAAAATTATAAATATGTGGATCATGAACCAAAAAATGTGGTTTTTATTTAACCGGTTAGATTTAGTTAACTGTATGATCATGCTTTAACTTGTTTTCAGATCCTATCGTTTTCACGATTGCTGATTGGCGGTGGCTGCCGCTAACAAAAGTTCTTTGTGTTACGGTTTTCTCGTGGCTTCACTCGTAATGTTATTTGTAAAAGATTAGCACTTGTGCATTAGCCTGCATTTATAGATTTTACTTTCTATTGTATTTATTTAATACAGGTAATAATATTATTGTTATACTTATCATATCAAATATAAATAAATTCATAGAAAAGAGATAAAAGAATGTCATTATTTATCAGCAAAATTCTTAGCTTATCTCAGTTTTTTTTTATTAGTTTATTTTATCGATTTATTTATGCTATTTATACATTTATTTCTTTGTTTGTTTTTTGCTTGTCATTATTTCTTATACTTATCTTATAATTCTTATCATTTATTTTACTTATTTTACAAAATTAGAGTTATCACTACCCCTTCAAATTACTCTGATAGTGACTTCTTCCTCACCTAGTTTTCTATGGAAAAACATTCTTAATTATACCTTACAGTTTTTAATTTTTTTAAAAAAATTTATTTCAATTCTTGATTTGATCTATTAATTTATGTGTTATATATGAGGCAATTAAAATATAATTTGTTAGGATGTGGTATGTTACCCTATTCAAAAATAATAGATAAAAACAATTAATTAATTTTTTTAAAGAATTTAATTAATCAGGAAGGAGTTAGTTACTTGTTGCATATGAACATCTACCATGTCCCAATGCTGCCAAATTTTCCAAAGAATGGGAATTTTTATTATTTTTTTCACCCTCTCTCCATTCACAAGGAAAACCTTGAGAATTCTTAGCAGCATTGCGTCGCCTAAAAAATTTCCGACTGACGCCTAAAACAGTTTTTTATCTCACCTGAAAAATTTTAGGACTTAGTAAAAAACATTTTATATGTGGCACAACGTTAAATTTCTGAGTTTAAAGACGAGCTGTGATAAAAACGTGTAAATAAAAAGTATGGATTTATTCTACAAAGTTTCTGTAAAAGAGATGGAATAATACATATTTTCTGTTCTTAATGAGGGAGCAGCGTTAGCCCACCAAATAGGGCGCCCCTGAAAGAGTGGCTAACAAATATGCCCATCTGATACCTGATGATGAGTTTCAATAGATTGAAAATTGGGGAAAAATATTCTGAGAAGCATTTTTGATATTTAAGAATTGTTATTCGTTATATATTGTTGATTGCAATTATTATATTTCATTTTTTTTAAATGATTTGTATATTTTTAATTACCGATATTTTGTAAATAATTAAATCTTCTGTGTAAAATCTCCACTTTTACCATATTTTATTATCCACATATTTCTTTATTTCTTCATATTTATTACCAACATATTTCCTTTTTTATGTTTATAAACCCGTTTAAAAAAAATTTAGAATTAGCGGTTTTCTTTTATTTGGGATAAAAAAGTCACCCATTTGAGATTCTTATCACACTATTTGCATTTCTCTTATCTTGGTATAAATTTTTATCTTTTTCCTACAAATTGAAGTGGCATCACAGCTGCTGGACAAATATAAAGCATTCTACCCCCACCCCCACTGCCGCCACTGATTGTTGTAAGGTGACCTTTGAAACTGGTTTTATTTTCCACTTGGACCCTTTATGGTTTACTTTTTGATAAGCCATTTATATTCACTTTAAGTTGTTTATTTTCACCCGCTACAAAATGACAATCTCTGCCCTCTCTTTTCATATCGCTTTCAGGGAAGTCCTTGACTTTTAACTCAGTTGGGAGTTCAGAGAGATGGAAAATGAAAGTCGATTTCTTTTTAACTTTGTGCTGTTTTCGTGATTTGTAAAAGCAGACGATCAGTTGTTTATTAATTTTCTTTATTAGATATTCTAAAAATAAGGAAGATATCCATTTTCATTTCTTAAAAAAGGAAAATTGCAGAAATTATAAGTGTTATGTAGTCTTTAATATTTTTTTTGGATATATTTTTAATATGAAAGTCGATTTCTTTTTAACTTTGTGCTTGCTGTTTTCGTGATTAATAAAAGCAGACGATCAGTTGTTTATTAATTTTCTTTATTAGATATTCTAATAATAAGGAAGATATCCATTTTCATTTCTTAAAAAAGGAAAATTCCAGAAATTATAAGCGTTATGTAGTCTTCAATAATTTTTTTATTTATTTTTTAATAAAATTTTGATTTGTGATTGAAGGATGGCTATGTTTAAGCAACGGTATTACGATCAGAAAGTTGTGTACTACAAATGGAAAAACGGAACCATGTAATTGCTACGATAATTTACGAGTTTTTATTTATTTTTACTTTCTTTTTCAGTTTGTTAATTTTTTTCTTTCTTTCTTTGCAGTGAGGGAGTGTTTACGTGTCCTGAGGACAATTTGCCATTAGACTACGCAAAGGTAAGCGTTGTTTTATTAATTCTATTTAAAAATCAAAGATCCAAACTTCATGAAAATTTACATTATCTGAAAAAATAAAATAATTTTTGTAAAATTTCAAAAAAAAAAAAAAAATTATTGAAAAAGGGAATCTGCTTAAAACATTGAAAAAACTTTCACGATATGCAATAATCGTAACCTTTATATTATGTGTAGTATTCCTGTTTATTAGAAAAATCATATATTTATGAATATTTTACCTGGCAAAGCTTTTGCTTTTTTTTAAATCGAAATTTGTTAATTGCCTTCTTCTGTTACTCGCTACGAAGCATATTGCAATTTTAATAATAAAAGTAATATAGTAGGCGCAGTTATGTATTCAAATTGAAATTATCTTGTCATAAATTTGTTGTGTTGAAAAACATGCTACAACTGTGCAAATTGTTTATTAGTTGTCCTAACGTGTAACAGTTTTTGGGGTTATTTCAGACGTTTCGCGAAACGTCAGTTTTTGTGAAATTGCGAAAAACCTATTCTTAATTATGTGAATTTTGGAAAATTGAGTCCTGTATTAACGGACGCTAATTTCTCTTAAAGTGATCTATGAATTCACAAGCATAAAATATTGCTAATTTTTCCAGTTTTGAAATTTATTCAACTTCTCAAATCTCAACTTTAATTTATTCTGAAGGAAAATACAGTCGAACTCGCTTATAGCGAACCCTGATTTACAAGAATCCAAATTTAGATAGGAAATCAGAAATACTTAGTTGCTACAATATTTAGTTTATTTTAGCTTAGTTTGCTCCTAACGAGCAAATTTTGCTTTTTGCGAGCAAAATTTTTGTAATTCATAAAATGTTTACCCCAATAAGACAGCTCAAAGCAAATAAACTAACTTCTTTTGAGCAGAAATAAAAAATAAATTAAGTAGTGCAGTACACTCTCGATATCTCGAATTTCGATATTTCGTAAACCTTTTTTATGTCAAAAAAATATTTTTTTCCTTGGCATTATATATCCACCTAATGTTAACTTGAATTCATATGTCGAAGAGTTTCTTCTCAAAACCTTGTTGTGTCGAATTTTTTTTCGAAATAGAAATTGTATTTTTTCGGAAAAATCACAAACTAAGTTTATTGTAAACCAATTCTTTTCTATTTAATGCATATTTATTTTTGTCTTAATTTCAAGAATAATATTATCATTGTTGTATTTAGACATATAGTCAACTATCATTACATACATATTTAATAGTAGTTATTCTTATGTTTTATGATTCTACTTTTTAGAGTTATATTTTAGAATATATTTTTCTACTTTTTAGAACACATTTATATTTGAACTTGTTAACTCTGAAACTCGCTATCTCCATTTTTCATTTTTTTTTCTTCTTGCGTCCCTTCAATTTTGAGATATCGAGAGTATAATGTAATATCTTCAATTTCAAAGTATATATAACTATAAACATTTTTTTACGAACTCGGTTGCTACGAGCAAATATTGTGGTCTCTTCGTGTACGTTATAAACGAGTTCGATTATATTTTTCACGGGTCTGTTTAAAAGAAATTTGGGTCCATTAACGGACCGTTCACAAAATATCTTTTCATAAGAACGAACCCTTCACAAAAAATTTATCTTTTAATCGGACCCTCCACAAATTTGTTTATCTTCATTATTGTTTTGTTAATCGAATAAACCCTNGTGAAGAAAGACGGTTCTAGACAAACTAAGTTTCCCTAAGTTTAAATTCCAAATGTAGTATTCTAAGAAAATATTTCAACTTTCACAAAACAAACATCGTGTGCTCATTCTTATTAATTTTTTTTTTTTGTGAATAAATAATTGTTCAATTTTATTTATTCTTAAAATTAATTAATAGAATATTATGTAAATTAAAATTATTTTCTTTTAGTTTTTTTAAATAAAATATTATAAATTTAAGAATTGTTTAAGTTTACTTAATGCGTAACACAGTAAAAGTGATACGTGACTAAGTTGTGTTATTTAAAATATGTCAATTGATATTATTAAAAATGTGAGTGTTTTTGTTTCCATTATTTGTCCGAAATGAATATTCTGTTTTGAGCAGTATAGACTAAATACCAAATATTTGTATGTTGCATCTCTAATCAGGGGTCTGTTCAAAAGAAATTTGAGTCCGTTAACGGACCCTTCACAAAATATCTTTTCATAAAAACGGACCCTTCACAAAATATTTTAACTTGAAAACGGACCCTTCACAAAATGATTTTTCTTTTAATCGGACCCTTCACAAATTTGTTTATCTTCATTATTGTTTTGTTAATCGAATAAACCCTTCCCAGAGCAGAAAACAAGAAAGATGGATGTAAACGAATTAAGTTCTCTCTTCGCAGACGGTTCTTCCATTATTCGTCCGAAATGAATATTCTGCGTTCAGCAGTATAGGCTAAATACCAAATATTTGTATGTTGCATCTCTAATTTAGCAGCAGCAATTGCTGTGAAAATTTAATTTTTTTTTATTATAATTTTACAGTGCCGAGCATAATCTTGTATCTATTTACAATTTAAAAACTCCTTGAAAAAGTTTTTTGCAATAACCGGACCCTATTTGCACAAATTCATAAAAACGGACCCTGGTTGAAAGAATGTGAGTAATTTTTCACAATTTCACGAAAAACGGATCTTTCACAAAATGTCTGGACAGACCCCTGCTAATTTAGTAGCAGCAATTGTTGAGCAGAATCTCGTATCTATTTAAAATTTAAAAACTTCTTGAAAAGGTTTTTAGCAATTTTTGCATTAACAGGACCTTAATTGCACAAATTCACAATAGCAGGTTGAAAGAATGTGACTGAACTCTTATTTTATATTCACAAATTATGAACAGTTTTTTCACGATTTTACGAAAACAGGACCTTTCGCAAAATGTCTGGACAGACCCCCTGAAATAGACGAATTCAAAATTTTAATTCCTGTCTTTTTTTACTTTCCCTAAGAACTGTTACTATAATGGGTTAACGAGTTGCGGATGCTGATTTCGATACATTATTACTTAGTAATCACCTGTAAAGACCGTTTTCTGGCATTTACTGTCACATCCCTAATTTTTTTTCTCCACACTTAAAGAGGCCATTATAGATTCGTCTTGCCGGACATTCCATCTCTGTTACATTCCCAGAGGTTCCTCCTTTCTTTCCAGTAAAATTCCTCTTTTAATCCTTTTGTCAAACTTTGTTGGTGGGTAGAAAGAGGCTATCAGTTCGCCTTCACATCTGCTTTTCGAATGTTCCAAAGGTGTCTTCTTTTGTTCACTCACTAACGACACCTGATAAATTCTTTTATGTCACAAAAGAATGCCCCCCAGCTTTTTTCTTTCCTTCCTTCTATTTTTCTCCAGTGGGCGGCCAGCTTCTTCCTTTCTGATGGATTGCTTCTTGGTGGCAGCTTTTTCCTGTCTTTTTTTATTCGATTGTTGGCGACTTAATTGAATCCTCCAGAGATCTTTTGCTATTTAAAGAAACGATTATTTGGTGAAAAGTTGCTGATAAAATTGGGTAATTTTATCGTATTATGTCCAGAACCTCTGTTATTTACTGGTCTATTTTGGAATTATTCCTGTCTGCTTTGAAATGGCAAGTTCTAAGTTTAAAGTTCTTATGATTGATCATTGTGATGAAGTGCTTTAATATAAACATTTTTGCTGCAAGATGTGTTGATATGATTTTCTTTTTTGTTTGTTTTTGTAGTTAAAATCGATGTTCTGATAGTTTTATAAAAAAATAAAACGGAATGCGAATTTCCAATGAATGTTTTTCGTACCCTCTATATTATTGCTTTATCTTTAATAAACAAAATATTGTGGAAAATATTGATTACAAAATCTGTATGTTTTGTTCTTTTATTTTCACAAATATTCTAAAAATATCTCTAAAGGGCGATCTGTTAGAAACATCCTGAATCTAGAAAATCAAGTTTTATTTGTTTCAAAAAATTTAATGAATATTTCATTTACAATAATTAAACAAATGCTCGAAATAGCCGGAAACAATAATATAAATTCAGAAATCGTTTGGAATTATGTTAATCGATGAGGATGTCAGCAAATTATGATAACGATTATAAAAAAATTTCCGTACATTTTCTGATAAATGAAAGGTTTCTTTATTCATTTTTTTTCGTGTCGTAAGCTATCTTAGTAATCGAATTAGCCCCACATAAAACATAGAGGGAAAAAAAATGAAAAGAGTAAATTAAGATATAAATTTATTTTCCTTATTCTGTTACTTGTTAACTTTTGTTAAATTAAGAATTTCTTAATTTTTTCAAGCAATATTTTTTTTTTAAAAAAATAATAATATTAATAATTTAAAAAAGCGTAGAATTGTTGTTCTAATGATATTTTTCTTAACTTTTATGATTTTCAAATTTTTTTCGGTGTCTAATTAGAATAAAAAATTTTAAAGAGAAAGAACTGTGAGAAAATGACCTTTGCCAAGGTGGTTTTCCACGCCTTATGTCTTTATTGACATTTATTTAAGATATGAGCTTATCTGGACTGAAAACTGCATTTACCATGGCGACGAGAAATGAAAGAAATTTCTCCAACTTATTCTTCCCTGTTTCTCTCTTGGTTCTACTCTGGAAAATAAAAATGATGTATCTCGCGAATTTAAGTCTCGTCTGTGAAATTAAAATTCTCGTATTTAAAACAGTTTTGATGTCCTTAATATAAAAATATATTAATATTTTTTTTCAATGAACAATAATAATTATTTAAGAATAAACGTATGCGGCAAAACATAAACTGAACGCCTTCAAATTGAACATAAGGACTATGCAATACTCGCATTAATGTAATATTTTCTACACAGTGAACAATATGTTATTTAATGAAATCTACTGTAATTTTTTAGAATAAATTTTTTGCTATTAAAAAATGACTGATTGTGTAAGAAAGTGTGCCATTTCCACAATTTGTCCCGATATGTTTTGTATGTGACGAAAATTTAATAATTATTTAAAAAAAATATTGT